TTCGACTCAAGTGGAACACACACCACCTACTTGGTAGCATGGCACACCGCAACCAGCTGCGTTGTCATCGGATGCTCCTCGTGAGGAACAGACTCACCTGTGCGATTGAACATAAATTCCAAAGAGATGACATTCACCTGGCGCTTAGGTTCGACAACAGGGTGACCATCCTCTCGAGAACGGGCTGCTTGGCATGCTTCACACCAGTCTGCTCTGAGAATATGTGTAAGCTCATGAATCATCACCGTCTGGGGATCAGGCTTCACAGGAAGTGGCCCATGGTTCACATCAGGGGTGTACGCTTCCACTACCGCATCGCTAGCCTGAACAGACACCTTCAACTGGTTCATCGCCACCTCTTTCTTGAGGCGGTCCCAGAGCGTGGCTTTGGGTCCAGTGTGGGGAATTCGCAGGAACTTGCACCCCCATCTCAAATCTCTCAAACTAGACTCTTCCCTCAGTTCTTTCTCACCAAGCTTGACAACCTCACCGACGTCAGGCACCACTGTCAACTCTGGCCCCAAAACCGGAGCTCCAATGCTCTGCCGAGGCTCATCTTCAGCTCCAGCAGCCTCCAGATCAGCTTGTCCAGAACCACCAGCATCACCAGGTGCAAGTCGAGGAAACCTGGGAACAATGGCCATGTCTTCTGCAACTACTTTTCCTAGCGACTCGGGCTCGACAGGCTGGGTGGTGAGGATGGTGATCACTTTGGTAGGGTTGCCTCCTATCTCCATCACAGGCTTTGGCTCCCAGTACTCACCACACTCAAAGACTGTGTAGCGCCGGCCGCTCTGTTGCACCAAAGTGGTACGATGCGCAAAAACTTCAGGATCATACATCTCACTGGTGTAGTAGACGAACTGTTGTTCACATGCGTGGGCTGACCATTCTCATTCAACTGCCAACCCCGTCTCTTCAAACTGTTCACAAACGACTCACCCAACGCAACCACCATGCGCACCTGGGCTTCTTCCGTTCTGAAAATTTTCATGGTAGCGGCAATGGAGTTCCTTGCCCAATGTAGAGGAAAAGCTTGAGAACCCTTGGCCATCACAAGGTTCTCTGAGTCAGGGCGAGGAAGCCACACATCACGAATCAACTTGCCAGCACAAAGAAGTGGTTGCTTGACACGCGCTAGCACTGCCTTGTCTTTAAAGACGATACTGCTACCATCGCAACCTTCCACAACGAACGTCACTCCTTCCCTCACGGCAGCTTGCGGAATGATCGAGCCTTGCGCATCCACCAAGGACACGCTCGCGTGGTCTTCGATGCCCACATCGCCAAAGATGTGCATCGGAAGCACCGTGACATCAGCACCTGAGTCGAGGATTACTTCGTGACCCTCTGCTACTGCACGCACGCAGAGTTCGGCTTCTTCAGCTCGGGCTTGCTGCAACAGAACCCAATCACTTTCAGCTCCACTGTCTAGCTCACACTGGGATACAACTTCATCTTCATCGCACAAAGAGAAATGCAAAGTGGAAGTGGAAGGCAAAGAGCAGCTGCTACCACACTCAGACTGGACATCCTCTAGCAACTCATGCTCTGCAGGCTCCACAATCTCAGCAACCATGCGCACGTAGCCACCGAACCCATCATACTCATCCCAACCTTCTTCCCAAACTTCTTCTGAATCATACCACGAAAGATCATGAACATGGCTTTTCCACAGCGGCTCGCCAACCTCACCTACCTCGGTCTCGTCGAAGATCTCCTCCATCAGGCCGTCATGTGCGAACTCCAGCCGGCGAACCTGGGATGTGGCAGAAGGTCGGGAGCTACTCGAAGGGGCCGACTGCGACGACGTAGTAGGGGCTGAGGTGGCTCGGGTACTCACAGACAGGCTGTCATCATCTGCAGCTACTTGTTGCACACGGGCTCGCAAATGACACTCTGCTGCAGCACGATGCCCCATACGCCCACAGATAAAGCATGGACCTTTTCCCTTTCCACCAGGACTGCCAAAACCTTTTCCAAAAGACTTCTTGCCTTTCTCCTTGCCTTTGCCACCACCAAACTTGCCCTTGACATTGCCCTTGAAATTGCCGTAGCCTTTGTAACCCTTGGCCTGGTCGTAACCCTTGTTGTGCCAAGAACCCTTATCGCCTTTGCCCTTCTTGCCTTTGTCCTTTCCAACATCACCCTTCTTGCCTTTCCAGGACCCCTTGGGCTTGCCCTGCTCGATGCGGTCCACATCCATGGGCACAGGCCCATTTCCTGGATGCAAAGGCGAGTCTTTGTCTACCCCGATGGCCTTCAGAACGTGTTCTGTAGACCATGTAGCTGCTGTTCGTTCGAATTGAAGAAGAGTGCTACGGAGATCATTGTACGTAGTGGAGTCGTCAATTTGTAGTTGCAAATATCGCTTGATATCTTGTGGCAAGCCAGACATCAGCGTGGAGATCTTTAGATCCTCCGGGTACCGCGCGGACGATAGCTTCTCATACTCAGTGATAAGGCGTTCGTACCCCAAAGTGTACTCCAGTACTGAGGCACCCTCTTTCAAGGGTGGAAAGCGCGTGAGCGCCTGCGCAAGCGCAAGCACGCCCGGGCGCGAAGTTGGTTGTAGTTCTTCTTTCAATTGGCGCCACACTCTAAATCCGTCTCCTTTTGGTTCTGCACGAAGAATTTTTAATGCTCGCCCTTTCAAATAAGATGCAAGGATGGAGTACAGCCGCAGCGATCTCGCCCTGATTGCAGGGCCCTCCAGGGCCATAATCCTCAAAAGCCAAAAACTCTGTTGACGTCTCTGCCTTGGCAAAGTCACCCCTGTATTCATCATCTTGTACGGCCATGAAGTTCTTGAAGCTGAAGGCCCATTCGGGCCACATACTTATGTCTTCCTCTATGCTCTTGGGGTTGAATATCTCGGGGGCCTTTACGTACTTGGTCTCGCGCCACTCCTGTGTGCTGGGTGCAGAAGCGGCGGCCTGGGCACTACTAGCAGCAGCTAGCTGGGACAAGGCTTCAGAGAGCCTAGCCAACACAACCGTCTGGTCCAAGGGTCCTTGCGGGCTACTCCATGAGGAGAAGCTCCGCCTGGGCTCTGTCCTCCTACATCTCCAGGATGCGGAGGCGCCGGGGTGGCATCTTGCTGTGTACTCATCTCGCTGGGCTCAAGGCTCAACAAAACTCACAAGCGCATTGCCAAAGTCCGCAGCACAGCAGCGGTTGTAAAGGAACTCAAAGGTCTGGCCGCCAGCAGCGGCTGTAGTACAAAACGCGGGGCAGCCACGGTCGAGGACTATGTGTTCACAGTACTCACACACTTCTACGCTTGCTCGCAAGGGCACGCAGGCACAGGCGAGACTTTGGGCTCTACTCTACTTTCCACACACACACACACACACACACACCGATAGGTCTAGGTCCTGCCTGTCACACTCTTGGAGCTGGGTACCCAAAGGTGGACCCGAGCTCCGCTACCACAACAAAACGCACGGACTTTTGTGCACACACTTTGAGCCTTGGTTGCGACACAGTTCACTGTAAGCTTTGCACAAGCAAAACGCTACGTGGAAAACGGGTTTCCGGGTTCGTTAAAAGCTTGAAATGGTTGCACGAGTGCTGTTGGGCTCACCACTGGTAGTTTCCGCTCTTTGGTAGCTGAAGCTTAGAAGGCCATGGTGCTACCAGGCTGTAGATCCAGTCACACCAAGGGTGATGTTGGATTCCACCAGTAGGCAACCAGTAATCCTGGCCCTGATCAACGTCTATCGAGATGCACTTCCTAAGGATTCGACGAAGCTGTTTAGATCCGGGACTTTTCTTGTTCCAGAAGCCATACTCGTAGACAATAGCCAATAGCCAAATGGATAGGGTCCAGGATGAGCGATTTCATAGATGGACATACCGTCTTGAGCTGATTGAAGAGTTTTTCCGATGGCTGGTAGCACCTCATCGATCAGACCGCTCGATGGACCTTCGTCTGCGAGTCTGTTGACGTCCATCTGAGATGACACCTGCATTACCGAGGTTCACAGCTGAGCATGACAGTGTCGCATGCACACGAATGTTACTACATGTATACAAGAAAAAATAATCTCGATCAATGCAAAGTATGCTGCTGAGACACTGCACCACCGAGGAAATCTCTGCCACAAGACCCTGTGGATGTACCACAAGTAACTCTCATCACCGCTTCGAACTGTGTGAGGTCGCATTGAGAAGGATGAAGGTCTATATGTTCGTGGCAGCGGTGACTGAGGCCAATCAGGCAGCAATCGGAACTCAAAACCCTCAGCGCAGTGAAATGCCCGGCAGCAAACAGAACGTAGAGACCAGGCTCACGTATTTGCGAGTCCTTCACCACGTCGATAGTGTACCTGCGACAATTATGTCACGGTTGTTATTTGGTCATCACGTGATCGTGTGGATCTGTCTTTATGTAGTCTAGCAGCCCGGTACTTGATAGGATTCGACGTCCATCAGCGACGGCGTAGAAGGGGCCGTCCCTCAGGTTACCTTCAGTCCCAGAGATCTGAAGGCGTCCACCAGGCATACTTCATGCATTCGACCTCATCAGGGATTACAGAAGACTGTGCCTAACATCACTTATTTGCGACACATCACATCCCACAGTGTCATCAACATATGGCGCTTGTTCCATTGTGCTTGAATTAGGAGCTCTACGTCTTAGTGGACTTGGGAAACACGACGCCTTCTGTGACCGGCTTCGACATGGAAATCTTCACATTCCGTCGCAGAGAGGATCCCGATGAGTTCCAGATGATAGGATCGATGCAATGGGACTGCCTTTTGTGCAGTTGCACGTACAACGTCACGTCATGAAATTTCACGTACTGACAGGTCCCACCTGGACATACTCTTTGTGGTCACCTGCTTCACACGTGGCGGACCCCTTGTCCTGTAAAGGGACTATATAAGGATGGACGGAACAACAACACCACAGTGCTGGTGTCCTTCGGATTGCTGGCTTCGGCAAAGTGATCTGCCCAGTGCCGGGGAATGTGCAATTGTGCAGGATGATGTTATCGCCTTCAGCTCAGGGTAAGTACAGGACGACATACTTGTATATAGTTGAAATCACGAACGCTTGCGAAGACCAAGTCACACCAGGAGGGAGTGTCAGTTGACTTGCGGCCAATGTGCAAGAAGCCTTTCCCTTGGAATGTGCGGCTCTCACACGTGTGCATGATATCAGTTCGCATGCTTATATCCTATATGCGTCTTGGGAACATCTTGGACTGGCGGCATGATCCATCAGCTCGGACTGGATGTAATCGTCATGCATCTCCTAGGAGACAGCGGAGATATAGTAAAGTTTGTTACATCTCGTTTCGGATGTCAATTTCGGCACAGACACGCATGCGATCAGAAATACAAAACATACACTCACAGTAATCTCATAAGAGTATCTTCCAACTCCAGGCGGCGGGCCTGTCAGTCATTGACATCATGATTTGAAGATGGAAGCATTGTTCTTGATTGCCGCTAAAGCGCCCTGGCACGGATAGCATCCATAAGGTTATCCCACCAAAGATCTCCCGTGATTGCGGCGGACAGGTTCACTGACTCGTCAGGCTCGTACTTCACGTGCAGCCGTAACACTAAAGGAACTAGATGATGGAAACTCAGTCATTTACGAAATATACAGCATACGTTTCACGTATGTGCGGAAGGCATGCGTCTGTCCGCACATCTTCTCCGATGGGACCTCAGTTGTGATTGGAAGCAGCATGTGGCAGAATTTCTCTGACAATGGCATACCGCATAATATAGTCCTGGGGCTGCGTTGGAAGGACGCAATCCTCATCTTCCACAACTGTCCTGGGACATTTTCTCATGTAACATGTGTTAACATAAAAACAAGGATATAGAGCCACTAAGGTCCCTGCTGGTCTGGACCACTAGAGTTCTTGCCCTCAGTAACGTTGTTGTGATGCCCAGTCTTCTTCCTGAAGGAAGCTTGCACATGCGACAATAGCTAGATTGTTGATAGTCCAGACCCTTAAGAGTGTTGCATACAAGTCTCTAGCTATGTCCGGGACGACGATTCTTCGTGCGGTTAGTGCGAAGATGATCCGGCCTCCTGTAATAGCTTAGGCCTGTAGGGCCCAAGGCAGGACCCATTCCCATCCGGAAGCGAGTGGGCTCGGTAGCAGGTTCACATACAATTGTCCTCTTCCTACACCGACCCCCCGCCGCAGGTTGCATAACCAGGGCGTGGGATTTGTGGTGCTTCCGACGCAATGTACTGTTAAGGAGATGGAGAGCCGGATGCAATCGCTGCCATATTGTTGTGGAGTCAGGCGTACGCAATCCCTCTGGGAACACCCTGATGAGAAGAAAATGCACATAGCATCCGCAGTCGCAAACCACATCAAAGTCACATTGGCTGTCTGCGAGGTGTCATGGACACCGCCTTCGCACCAGAGTGTCCCCACTGGGAACACCCTGATGAGAAGAAAATGTACATAGCATCTGCAGTCGCAAACCAGACGAAAAGTACATGGTAAAAAAAAATTGTTTATTACATAGACAGCACCCAATGCAAAGATGCTACGATGCCCGACGCAAGGCAATCGATGCAAGCGAATGCGAAAGCAAACAGGTCTGTAAAGGATAATGGAACAAGAAATGTCGCAGTCGCCAGCGAAAGCAAGACCCCCAAGGGAAGTGGAGGGTGGGTTAAAAATTTTGTCCGATGGCCGGACAACTCAGGCAGCTGCGAGCCTGCATGCTACATATGCAATGCAATGTAGCAAGCATGCAAAACATAAACCAAACACA